TATAGATAATTTTACTTTTGCCTTTTAACCTTCCTTCTAGCTTTATAAGTGGTTGATCTATTACCTTTACAGTATATTTGCTTTTCCCAATGAGATTTTTCCTTTTGCAATTTTCAGATTTTTAATTGTGACCTTTTCTTTTCTTCTTAGATAAGTCCCTTTAACATTTCTTATAAATCCAGTTAGTCATGCTGAACTCTTTCATTTTTTCTTGTTTCTAAAACTCTTTATGCCTCCTTCAAATCTGAATGATAGCCTTGCTGGGTAGAGTATTGTTGTTTGTAGATTTTTTTCCTTTCATCACTTTGAATATATTGTGCCACTCCCTTCTGGCCTGCAATGTTTCTGCTGAAAAGTCAGCTGATAGACTTATGGGAGGTCCCTTGTATGTATTTGTTGCTTTTATCTTGTTGCTTTTAATATTCTCTCTTTATCTTTAATTCTTGCTATTTTAATTACAATGTCTTAGTGTGGCCCTCTTTGGCTTTATCTTCTTTGGGACTCTCTGTGCTTCTTGGACATGGATGTCAGTTTCCTTTCCCAGGTTAGGGAAGTTTTCAATTATTATGTCTTCAAATAATTTATCTGACCCTTTCTTTCTCTATTCTCCTATGGGACCCCTACAATGTAAATATTAATGTGCTTGATGTTGTCTCAGAGGTCTCCAACTATCTTCACTTTATAATTTTTTTTTTCTCTTTTCTGTTCTGTTAGGGTGATTCCTACTGCACTTTTCCAGTTTGCTGATCCATTCCTCTGTATCATTTAATCGACCATGATTCCTTCTAGTGTATTTTTAAATTTAAATTACTGATTGTTCAGCTCTGTTTGGTACTTTATATTTTCTAATTCTGTTACACTGCTCACTGTGTTCATCCATTCTTCTCCTGAGTTCACTGAGCATCTTGATGATTATTACCTTGAACTCTTTATTGGGCAGATTGCTTATCTCCATTTTGTTAAAAAAATTTTTCCTGAGGTTTTGTTTTGTTCCTTCTTTGGTACATATTTCTCCATCTCCTCATTTTGCCTATTCTCTGTATTTATATCCAGTGTTAGGCAATTTGGTTATATTTCCTGATTTTGGAGAAATGACCTCATGTAGGAGAGGTCCTATGGAGTCTACCAGCACACTCTCTTCTGGTCACCAGAGCTATATGCTCTAGGAGTGCCCCCTATGTGGGCTGCATGGGCCTTTCTGTTGTGGCAGGACCAACTACTGTGGGAATGCTTGTAGGTGGGGCTGCATTCTGCCTGGTTGGTCACCAGGCTCTGCTTCACATGGTGGTTGCTGGCTCACTGGTGGGTTAGGCCAGTTCCCAGTACAGCTGGTTGCATGGGTTGGGGGGGTCCCTGGGACGGTGCTGTCCTTCTGGTGGTCTAAGCCAGGTCCTGGGGCAGCTTGGCTGTGGGGTCTGGGATGGTCCAGGGTTGGTTCTGGTCCACTGGTTGGTGTGTAAGTTGCAGGCACTAATAGGATAGAAAGAAGACTCTAAAATGGTGCTTGCCAGCACCAGTGTCCTTGAGATATAACAAGTTCCCAGGCACTGCCACCAGTGTCTGTGTCTCCAAGGTGGGTCCCAATTTCCTTCTGCCTCTCTGAGAAGCTCTCCAAAATCTGCAGATGGGTCTGATCTGGGATACTTTCAAATTACTGATTCTGCCCTGGGTCCTTTAGCATGTGAGATTTTGTGTACACCCTTTAAGAGCAGAGTCTCTATTTCCTAAAGCCTTCCAACTCTCCCAATATGTCAGCCTTGCTGACCATCAAAGCAGACATTTTCGGGGCTCATCTTCCTGCTGCAGGACCCCTCAGTTAGGGAGCCTAATGTGGGGCTTTGTCCCCTTCCTCCTTGGGGAGAACCTCTGCATTTATTATTGTCTTCCCGTTTATAGGTTACCTACACAGGGGTGTGGGTCTTGACTATATTATGTCTCCACCCCTCCTACCCAACTCAGTGCAGTTCCTTCTTCATAGATTTAGTTGTGGAAAATCTTTCAGCTAGTCTTGAGGTTGTTCTTGTAGATAGTTGCTCTGTAAATGATTGTAATTTTGGTGTGCCCATGGCAAGAAGTAAGCTCAGGGTCTTCCTACTCCTCTTTCTTGGACACATTTCTCCCAAAGTAGGATTCTTATATCCATATGCAATGCAACAATATGTGAGTGTTGTTTGAAAGTACACTTATTTTGGATTTTGTCCTATGTGTCAGATATGAATAACTGGATAAAAAGTACTCTTCTTCAAGAAAAAACAAACATTGCTTAAAAATTATCATTGTAAATAAGCATCTTAAAAGGTGAAAGAAACCACATTTGTTGTAAAATAAATATCCAAGACATCATATGTTTTGATTCTCATCTATTATTACCCTTTGTATTCTTGTGTTCACATTGAATTTCAGCTCTACTTCATGCTAAAACAAACAAACAAACAAAACCTGTAATTCATCATCTGAGATCTATGCCAAGTCAAATATGTTCAAACAAACACAGTAACACAGTGAGGTACTGCAGCAGAGCTGCATTGTGGGTTTGTAAATAAGGTACATTTAACAGTGAGCAGGAAGAATGCTCATGGTTACAAATGTGACATAAAACACATAATGACTGGGATGCATTTAACATGTTGATACCCAGCTGATCTCAGACTTCAAAATGTGGCAGCTTGCCCAAATTCTACAAAACCTCTCAATCTTTCAGAGAGGTTTTTAAACCTTTTAAGTTGGATACACATTTCTTCAAGGAAAAACTAAATTCAGAGCCAGTGATTTGAATCCTTACTTCCAAAATAAATCTCCAATTCATTAAACACGATCTTTTAATAGTTTGCAAATATGATTTAGCTATTGACTATCAAGTTTAGGCATTACATTACCAGTAAGTTTATCCAACTACCATCTATATTTTATATTTTCCACCTTTCACAAATGCAAAGGAAATAATCAAATGGTTCTCAGCTCTTCAAACAGCTTACAACACAAAGCATGCCAGATATAAATATTTACACCATCAAAAGTAAATGTTTCCAAAATTCCAAACTCCAAAGCATTTGAAAATTGATTTGGACCAGGTATACTTTACTAAATTGAAAATATACTTTAAAATCACATAACAACAAAAAAAACACCAAAATATAACATAACTTATGAATGATTTTTAACTCCAGCTATCTCTCATTCTCTTCTTTCCCAATAAATTTTAGAGAGAAGCTTTCCGGAATTAGTTTTTTTTATTTCTTTCACATCAAGATTTTCCTCTAAGATGGTCTGATGGAAAATGAAACTTGTATATTCACTGTTTGTGTCAGCTTGCTACCTTTTCCATCCCACTCCCTATGTACTTTTTACCTAATAATGCTTTAAATCCTTGTCATACTCTTACGAAAAAATCCAGTTCATTAATATGGCCTCAGGATCTCGCCTCTGCCTTCTTCTTCCATCCTTATCTCCTCATCAACCCCTCTTAGGTCTCTGTGCTTCAGCCTTGCTGGCCATCTTTCAGGTAATTTCTGGAATTCAGGTACCAGCCTTCCTTCTGCTTTGTGTGTGTTTACTTTTTTTCATTTCTCAGTTTGCCTAGAATACAGCTATGTCCTCCATCACACTCTCCAAGAAAGAAAGAGTGATTGCATACTCAAAATTGCAATTTGCCCTTTTTATATACTGGTCAGTGAACCTATACATGCTCATGACTTGATTTGAATGATTCAACTTTTTAAAGAGAGGTATATGTAGAAGCCAAGTCAAGTTCCTTTTAGGTTTTGTAAAATAAAACTGCAATTGGAACAATAATTAGAGTAGGTTAGTTTTCTATACGATCAGAACAATAAACGTCATGAACTTACATAGGACCTTTTTACAAAAGTGCTTCCTAAGTCATATTTAAAACAGCACACAAACACTACTTAGCTAAATAGTCTCAATCACATGCAAGATCCTTTAAAACTTGCCTTGTGACCTAAGTCAAACTCACTAACAATATTTTGATGGGTCATTCGATTTTTCAGTGTGTGTGGGAAAATTATGTGATAAGAAAAAAATACAATATATATGAAGGCGAAATGATTACTTACAAACTTGTGGTAATTAAGGTGAACAGATTGCATAAGGGGAGTAGAAAGCAGAGCCCAAGGAGCCCAACCCCTGGATAATCAGCCACTAGCAGTAGTGAAAGTTATCCAAATTTTAACCCCAGTTTCTTGCACACAAATGATTTTCCATTCCTCTTGAGTTCACAACAGCTAAATCACGGTCAAACACAATTTTCTGTGTGTGTTTTTTCCACCTTCAACAATCTACTCAACAGTAAGGGTAGCTAAATATAGATAAAAAAAACAAAAAACAAACAAAAAAAAACGCTAGATTCCAGTGATGAGGAAACCCCATGGACATTATGCTCTTCCACAAATTAAGGAGGAGCTCATTATGGGGGAAGGAGAGGGTAGAAGGGATGTTGATGTGAGAATCGGGAAGCATAGTTCAACATTTCTGTGCAGGAGCTATGATTCTTAGCCAGCAAGCCATAGTAAAATTAATTATTTATTTTCTTATAAATCATCTAATGTGATTTTTGTTTGTTTTTCCTTCCAGGATGATAAATGTCTGAGTTTACTTTTGTTAATTTTTTTTCTTCACTTTGTTGAGGTTAAAAGAAGCCCCAGTAAAGAGGTTTCTGAGAGGAAGAATTTTCCCAGCATGATATGCAGGGGAGTCAATATTGTTTTCTGACTTTCTTTCATGAGCTACCAAGGGATAAGACTTCAGGCAACATCCAGGGAATACAAAGAAGTAATTAGAAGCATGAGGGTTTGACTAGGTAGAGAAAAAAAAGCACGATTTACACATAATTATATTTGCTGGCAATAGGCTTCAGGTCTGTGATATAACTCCTGGGTGGAAAGACAAACTCATCACAGAGATCAAGGACTGAAAGGCTGGTTTTCAGAATCAACATCTCCCCCTGTACCCAACTTCACGATGGAAGCAACATGGCTGCTTACCTTCTTGCCCCCAGTGTTGATGCGAAGGGGCGTCAGAAAGGGGTCGAAGATCATGTGACTAGTCTCTATATTGACTGGAGACTGCCGTTTCCCCACAGAGCAAAGATTCCAAGCTGAGTTCACCAATCCCCAGAAAGAAGGAACTAGAAACAGAAAGAAATTTTAGAATCAGGCTGGGGAAACAATGTAAAAAGAGCTATGGCACAAAAGTCATAAAATCAAAGAGAGCCATCCAATGTTCCCCACACATAGAGATCCTTGGGTGTCATTATGGCAGTTTCCTGGCCTGAATCTTTTCAATTTCTCTAACTCTTACCTTCATGAAGTCTTAAGATCAGATTTTGTTATCTTTGACCCATTGACTCTGTGGCCTCTTTGATGGGTATAGCTAGAACTAATGACTTAATAAGAAGATGGCATAGTCCAGCCACATCATCTTTTCATATTGAGGTACACTAAATATATAGCAACTCCTGAGTTGATGCTCTGCTTTTCTGTTTGGCAGGAATGTTATGGGAATCAACCTTGTTCTAGATAGAAAGTTTTATAAGCTTTTCAAAGAAGTAGAATTCAACATATATAAAGTACTTATTCTGCTGAGGGAGTGAATTATTTTATGACCCCCAATCAATGCCAGACAGGAGCTTGGCAAGTTGACTTAATGTACCATCAGCTGAAGAATGTGTTCATTGATAAGCAGAAAAAGATGGCATTGAGTGCAGAGTGCAAATATCCGAAGGAAAATCATCCACTCATTTTCAGTGTCACATTAAAGAATCTATTAAAATAAATTTCTGGACAATTCCCAGTCCTATTTTCTTCTGTTTAAAAAAATTAGCAGAGAAGTGGGGTAGCCAACCTACTAATTTTACATCAGTGAAGATCAGCGACTATATCTTCAACATTTTCCTGCCCCCTCAGTATCTTTATTGAGGCTTTAGATCCATGTGTCCTTTATATGCCTCTGAGATTGTATGATCATTATTCAATCATCCATCCACAGCACCCATCAGCAGTCCAGTGAGCTCCTATTGCATGTCCAGCACTGGGTTATGTTGAATTTTGAAGAAGGCAGATGCATGTAAGAACAATTACCACACTGGGGGGGGGGCGGTACAGTATGAGGTTAAGTCAAGTGTATATGAAACTCTAGATGAGGGGCACCAAAGCCTGCATCAGTGGAAGTGGAAACAGGGAGTGATTCCTACAGAAGATGAGCCTAACAATAAAGTCACAACCCTCTCAAATGTACGTGTCCTGTCAGGAACTCAAATTTAATACAACCTTTAATTTACAGCAGCCATTATTCCTTCCCATGTCATGGATGGAGAAAACTGAAGCAAGAGAGGTGTATGGCAAATACCTGCCAAAGATACTATGAAAGAGAGAAGTTTTGGGCTGGCTGGTATGTCTAGTCCCATCTAAGTTCAAAATTCTATAACCCTTTTAATTGTTATAGGAAATTATTGGGCAGAAGTGATAAAAACAAGTTCCTTAGAGTCTTAGAAGAATATTTCAACACCAAAATAAGGTGGGCTTCATTGTGAAATATGGCACATAACTTAATTTGGTTTAACCCTTTGGCAATAAGCCTCTGGTAGATCCTCCCCCTTTAATTAAAAAGTTTGAATTGACTTTCCAGCTATAACAGATTTTCAAAATGGCAGCAATGGCCAGGGTTACAGAGAGAGAAAGAGAAGGAGGAGGAGGGGAAGGGGAAGTAGACAGAAGAATATGTACAGGTGTTTCCTTGGCACTTTCATTTCCCATCATTATTTAATCTATTTTATCTCTGCAAGACACTTTATCTTTAGAAGGTACCATGGCCTAGCAAAATTACAATATTTAAGGAAGCTCTTACATTAAAAATGTATTTAAAAAACATAAACTTCTATCATCTATAAAATGCTCTTTCAAAATCACTGACTTAATTTTATACTTATTCTTCAATCATTTCAAGTTTATTATAAAAATAAAGCCTCCATCAGTGCATGTTCTTACCTGTGATTTTCAGGGATGCACATAAACATGGCAGATGTGAGGATGCCAGGGATACAGTCATGGCACTGCCACAAATTAGCTGTGTGCCCTTAGATAGCCATTTATTTCTTGGGCCTTGGTTTGTCTCTATGGCCTCTGTTTTAGGCTGAATAATGGCCCCCTCCAAAGATGTCCACATCCTAACCCCAGAACCTGTGAATGTGTTACCTTACATTGTAAAATGTACTGGACAGAAATTACTAAATTAAGGATCTTGAGATGAGTAGATTATCCTGGATTATCTGGGCCCAACATAATTACAATGTTTTTTTGTTTTTGCTTTTGTTTTTGTTTTTTCATGAGAGAGGTGTAGAAGGATCACAGACATAGAGAAAAAGTTTAAGGATGGAAAGAGAGGTCAGAGAGGACAGAAGATGCTGGCTTTGAAGATGGAGGAAGGGGACATGAGCTAAAGAATACAGGTGGCCTCTACAACCTGGAATAGGCAAAGCAACAGATTCTTCCCCTAGAGCCTCCAAAAGGAACACCAGCCTGCTGACACTGATCTTAACCCTATGAGACTCATTTCAGACTTCTCACCTCCAGAACTCTAAGATAATAAATTTGTGTTGTTTTAAGTCACTAACTTGTTATTATTTGTCACAGCCACAAGAGGAAACTAATACAGCCCCCTTTATCTTTAAAATCCTGTGAGACAAGAACCTCTTTGACAATCAGGCCATCTATGATGTCCTGGGGGACCTTCCCTGGAAGGCAGATTCATAATAAACATAGTAAGAGATGATACATATTGCATTTCATATACTCCCATGAAAATTATTAACAAAAATAATCAAATCCTATAAATGAATTGCCAGACTGCTATTATATGGCAACATGGATGGGCAGATGCTTCTGTGCTTTACAAATAAACTTCACACCCCAAAACTACCCCCATAAAAACACAAACAGCAAAAATGTTATGTGAACGTCTGATTTGCTTTTATTGGACATGGCATTCTATATGACAAATAGTTTCAGGGTTTTATATACCCACTTCACTATCGAGGCCTGTGTGTCTGTTTCTAACCACCTGCATAGATAACTGAGGAATAACTGAGAAACACTCTTCCTTGCGAATCTGTGACCCTCATTAGCTCCACTCTTGAAGAGGTATCAAAGTTTATTCATCACTGAATTGCTCATTTTAAATCAGCCATAAATTAATAGTCTTTCAGAAATAGAAGCTACCTTAGTGGTCATCTAATCTAAATGAATAAACAAAATTAAGGCCATAAAGGCAGATAAAGTCCTCAACCCAAGGCCACACACCCAGGGAGAGGCAGGGAAGGACAGAGTAAGGACTGGTACCCAGGTCTCAAGACTCACAGTGCTCTAAATCCCTTCCACCCCAGCAGGCTTCATACATGAGCAGGTTATTAGAGTCAGAGTTTCAGAGTTAAATTGTTGTTATGGCCATGGAAGACTTTTGCTACCATTTCTCTTTTGGTAAATCAAGAGTAACATTAATGCTTAGTCTCCAGTTAAAATAAATTTCAAGTGCAAAGGTTTAAATCAAACTGCTTTAAATATCAATCATCTCAAATAAAGTTAGGATTTTTAAAAAGCCATTCAACTATAGCTGGGTAGAAACAAGGCTTCAATTCAGGCAAGATAAGATGTGTTTGTGTCTCCTCTGCAGAGCCTCAAGGAGAGCTAATGGGGATGACTGCTCATGAAGAGCTGGACTAGGCAAGGTTCTAGTCCAGATGAAAGAAGTCAATGCTCTTAGAATCATTGTTATGTGTTGGGACAATAATTAAGGTGTCAAAGCTAGTCCATGGACATTAGGTGCCAAAAGGGACCAGGAATAGGTCTACAAATGTCATGTAATCTAGGTTCTAGGGAAATGCTATAGGAGGAAGGCTGTGGAAACAGAAGCATGGAGTTCCCATACTTATTAGAGCATGGGAGTGAGCCAGTAGACTTTACCTTCAGAGCAAGGCTGGACAAATGAACTAAGGTTTCAAGATTTAGAGTAAGAAACTCTCCCTCTGGATTTGTGCAGAACTCTGTTATCCCCACGATTCTAATATGTAACTATGCTCCATATTTTTGATCCTTCAGGTTTATAAACTCCCCATGTCACCCCTGGGAACAGAAGTGAATTTGTAGAATGCTATGGCACTGCTTCTATTTCCAAATTTAGAGAATCATTGCTGAATTATTTTTTTCTTAATTCCCATGCTTGTCCCAATAAATCAAATTTTTAAATTTTCTGTCATTTTTTTTTAAAGCATCAGTTATTATGGTTTACTAGCTAATGCGGTGTCTTTTTCTAGCTTGAGTGATACAACTTATTGTTGAGAAAAAATGTGAAAAAGTAAACTTGAGTGAGAATTACTCTAATTAGTAAACAACTGGTCTGAAATGTTTGAATGGCACCATCTCTAGAATCCTTTTCACACAATCTTTTAATTTACATATAACCTAAAATAGACACCTGACTTGGATATTTTTGCAAATTAATTTTCACAGAGCCTAAACAATGGAACTTAACTGCTGCATCACAGCTATGTGTTATCTTGCCAAAACATTTCCCTGTGGCAATGCTGTCATTGTCACTATAAACTACAAAACCCAATGGTTTCTTGGCTCTGGGTCCAGTGAGCTATGAAAATGCTCAATGACTGATTTCAGCTATGTAAAACATGAGTCTTGGAAAAGTCAAAACCTATCAGTTGCTTATTCAAAACCCAGTGAAACAAAAAGCTCAAGTTTAGCTTATTAACACATGGTAACCCTCAGACAAAACCAAAAAAGCTCCTACTAAAATAAGAAATAGTTTGAGAGAGCAATGAACTAGAGGTATCAAGTTTGATACTGAGTTAAAATTTGTCTCGATGACATTTGTATCCTATAGAAAATGCTCCAAAGTCAGTCTGAGCTTTTAGACATCCTCCTTGTTCATTTGTCCTGAATTGTTATTTGTCGTCTCAGCAGAATTTGCAGAGACCATGCTGTTATGGCAAGGAGTTTGACACTTGGAATTAATTTATGCAATTTATTGACTTACTAAATCCTATGGAGACAATACAAACTCAAAAAGTGTTTACTGACAGCCTATTATGTGTCAGACATTAGGCTTGACATTGTGAATTCA